ATGTGTGTGTGTGTGTGTGTGTGTGTGTGTGTGTGTGTGTGTGTGTATATATAAAATGCTTTGCAGTTCTCTGGGGACTAAATATTAACACTACAGAAGTGATCAGATGGCAGTACAATCATTCCTCTGCTTTGCCCAGAAAACTTTATAGAGAGATTCATAATCAAATTTTAAAAGATAGCTAAAGTTTAGGTTTCTTGTACGGAAGTGAATTTGACTCAGTGGTTTGGTTCAGACATAATGCAAAACCATGGTTTGTTATAACTATGGCTAGTTTGTGACACCAGGATTCATCATGCAAAGTGTCATTTAAATCCTAGCTTATCTCAGCAAAAGCTGGTTTCATCGCCTTCACTCTTTCGCCTGCCTCCCTCGCAGACACTTGGTTGGTATCCAGTTTGTATGTCATGTGAACCCATAGTTAAAACTAACTGTGGTTAATAAATCAGCTTCAAGCTGGGGTTTCTGACTCTGGTTCGATGTCCCCGAAACTAACTATGTTTGAATGGCTCACCTTCAGACAGTCATACAGACCATAGTTAGATTAATTAAACCATGGTTTTGCATGACATTTGATTGGCTTGTTCTGTATATATATAGAAGCTATAGCAGGGGTGTCAAACTCATTTGTTATAAGGGCCAGATCTGACATAAATGGGGCTTTGTCGGGCCAGGCCATGTGTGTCATAAAATGTAATGCCAGGTAGCGAAGATAGTAACTTTACAAAGGACAGCGACAGAAACAATTAAAGGGTTTTTTAAACTTAAAATACAAAAATGCTTAAAACAGTAACACTCTTGCCATAATTTGTTTAACAGTCTTTGATAGCTGACACCTCCCAAACCTCCCCCCCTTAAAAGATGCCTTCCTAAAATGGAAAGGAAATAGTGGGATTCGGCAATGCAATTTTTAAAATAAAACATCGAGAAAAAGCACAAGGATCACAGCAGAAACGAAAAATAAAAACTAAAAATATAAAATGCTCTGAGCCTAGGAAAAATGGCTGGGCATTGCAAGCCCCCCTTCCCCCCGGTCTACTCAGCGTGGCAGAGGCTCTTCAGTGTAATGTCCTCCTTTGGCTGTGGATTCCCAGGTTAGACTATTTGCTCAGGAACCTGTTCTCAGGTCCCTTCAGCAGAGATAAGCAGGCTCAAAACATCAGCCCTTTATTTGCAAGCAGACAACTTCAAATGGCATATAAACACTGGAAACTAAAACTCCACTCCATTGAAATCCATTGCAGTTCAAAAACGTTGGAAAGAAAATGTGGAATGGATTTTCCAGTAAGGTTTCTGGGCCCAGATAGACTACTCTGGGACTGGAATGACAGCCCCCAAACTACTGAAGACAAGGCCCAGCCAGCTGGGAAGTTTGGCAGCACCGATCTCCCTCAGAAGGATGAGGAAAGGCAGGGGTGGGGGTGGAGAAGAGAGCCGCGGGCCTGATGCCCTGGGCAGGCCCGTTCTGGCCTGTGGGCCTTAGATTTGACACTCCTGAGCTATACCTTGCTTAATAGGTAACAGAGATGTCGGGGTGCCATATGTGATTGAAGGCTAGATGATCTACCTTGGAAGAATGCAATATCTACAGTAGTTATTCTGTCCTGATATGTATTAAGAACAGTATTATAAATAATATCTAAATTCCTTTCATTTATGCAGTCTCTTCATTAGCTTTCACTATGAAGTTGCAGCACCATGAGCTTATGTATATTCTCACAGCCATACTACAGGCAGAGGGTTTGGTAATGGATCCAGATATTCAGAATCCTGGGAATCTCGGCTTTCTTAATTCTTTAAAGCTAAGTCAATTTCATTAAACGAGTTCCTTGTAACATCATATTACTACACAGAACATGTTCACTTTTCCAAATCACGTTATTCCAATATCTCGTGATGTTTACAATATCTTGTGACCTTTGCGATAAAGTCAGCTTTAATAATTTATACATTACTTTAACCTTGTCTAACCAATCATCTATCAATGGTCTGTTCTTCGATTTCCAGACTTCAGTGAATACTAAGCATGCTGCTGTTAATAAATACTAGGAATGGGCACAGACCGAGAAATCCCAGTTTCAGTCCAGGGCTTGCGAACTGGTTGGCCCTGAACCGAACCCCCTAAGCAAAAAAGCTGTCCAAACTGAAGCAGTTTAGATGGTGTCAGGGCCTTGCCGCAAGCATGCCTGTGTCATCCGGAAGTGACGCAAGCACATCAGCCCCTGATGTTCTCGCATCACTTCCTGGTGGTGTCAGGCCCTGCCCCTGGTGCGCCTGCGTTACCCAGAAGTGACATGAGCATGTTGCGATGCACTTGTGTCACTTCCAGATGACATGGGTATGCTGGGGCGGGGCCCAACATGACCCGGAGGAAGGGGCATGCATGAGTTAGACCAAACATGTGAGCCAAACTGAGCTGAAAAGCTCAGTGAGTGTTTGGGGGAAGGCACCTTTCCCTGAACTTCGGCTCACGAACCCCAACCTGTGCAAAATCTGACTCGGACTTCAGCTCAGGTCCGGGTCTGTGCCCATCCCTAATAAATACAATTACATTGTCTGGTAATGTTTTAGGATACATACAGTATAATTAAGGAAGACCAATTGAACTGATTTTCTCAACTTTAACTCAGATGCCACAGACAACAAGTTAACGGTTGTATCCCAAAAGACTCTGCTCTGATACAGTTCCACCATGTACACAGAAAGGTGGTATTTGTGTCTTCACAAAACCAACATTTATCATGACCGTGTCTATAAATTCTGGCAATCTGGACAGGGGAGAGATGCCGCTGATGAATAGGGTTGCCAGCTCTGGGTTGGGAAATACCTGGAGATTTTGGGGGTGGAGCCTGGTGAGGTGGGTTTGGGGAGGTGAGGGGCCTCAGCAGAGCACAATGCCATAAAATCCACCCTCCAAAGAAGCCATTTTCTCCAGGGGAACTGATCTTGGTCACCTGGAAATCGATCGTAATAATGGGAGGTCTCCAGGTGCCACCTGGGGGTTGGCAACCCTACGATGAACCATTTTACAAACATTCTCTTTGAACAAGATAGAAAGAGAGAGAGAGAAAAGGAGCCATGAGTAAATAAATGAGACCAGACTCTTACATCTCCATTATGTTTTGTTGACTTCCTCCATTTCTTAACGTAGCTGGGGGTTGAATCACTATTAATTTCTAGTGGAAAAAATAACATGTTGATCTAGTACCTTGATTTTTTGATAAACGAATTTCAAACTTGTTTGGTTCAGCCCTTAATTCTCTATGACACATTTTTAAAATTTATGTAACTGCACCTGTGTATATTGCAACACAGGAGTTGTGTAATTACTATGGTAACTCACCACTTCATAAGGTATTACTCCACTGTCTTAAATCAATTAGTAGAAGTGATCTAAAAAAAAAAAAATTGGTAGAAGTGATCTAAAGTCGCATCACACCAATAATTACGTTGCCGCCTGGTCCAACTAATCTTAAATCCAAACTCTGCCACAGCGGGGACCAGGGGGGAAATATAAAGAATAAGCTTCTTTCAACAGTTGTCCCATTCTATTAATATGGCAAAAGACTTTTGTAAGGAAAATCTCTACCTGTCTACTTTTCTCCAAACAAGATCCAGGCTTTTGAGGAAACAGAGATTAACAACTGGGAAAATTTAGTCTGGATCCAACCCAATGCCTGGTGCAATGTTAAAAACAGGATTTACAGAGTCCAGAGGGTGTGGATTCAGTGTTCCTTATAACTAATTTCCCCTCCATACAGCTTATAGGACCAAATTTGCCTGATTTTTATAATTTATTCTGGTGGCTGTATTCAGCTGTTCTTGGCCCACAAGACTGGCAGAGATTTAAAAAAATAAATATACAAAGAGACCTGCCCATAGTCACCAAAACAAGAATATGCTGGTTTTTTAGATTAAAAAGTGAAATTATTCTTAAATGGTGTTTAGTCTGGTGCTGCCTGCCTAAACAAGAACTCATCAGCCTTAGCACTCATTCCTAAAGTGCATCACTGTTAAATAATTGTTGCTGATGTTGCTCAGTGCATTGCTAGATTTGTTGTGACCCTTGGCTCTGAAAACCATTCTCTGTTGTCCGCTTCAGCGATTTGTGATATGGCATACATAAGGGAAGCTTCTCTTTGACCCATCCACTTTTCCATGGATCCATTGCTTTTGAGTGTTAATTCTGATTTTCTGACGTTAGCACCAGCCACATGGCTCACCAGTTTGGTGTAGTGTTTAAGTGCGTGGACACTAATCTGGGACAACTGGGTTTGATTCCCCACTCCTCCACTCTCAGCTGCTGGATGACCTTGGGCAAGCCATGGCTCTGACAAGAGCTGTTCTTGAAAAAGAGCAGTTTCTGTCAGAGCTCCCTCAGCCCCACCTACCTCACAGGGTGCCTGTTGTGGGGAGGGGGAGGGAAAGGAGTTTGTAAGCCGCTCTGAGACGCCGAGTAAAGGATGAGGTATAAATCCAATCTCTTCTTCTCTTCTTCTTCTCACTGACTGCTTTTTTCAATAGTGATATGTACAAGCCACCACAACCACCACAGGGAGCACAACCACTGCCAAGGCTCCAGTGGGAGCAGGGGATACCCCACCCCCAGCCTCTTTGAGGCAGTGGGAGGAAAAAAATAATAAAAATGGCCATTGGCCTGACAGTGTGATGTCACTCCTGGGGCAAACCCAGGTTTAACAGAGTTTCTGTTGATTCCTAGAGAGAAGTGGTGTCACTTCTGGGTCTTCTTTTTTCCTTTTTAAAATTCTTTATTAAACTTATATTAACAATAAACAATATTCAATACAATTCTTTATTTAGATAATTTACAATACAAATATAACAAAAAAAGTAATCTATCTATCAATCATCTATCTATCTGTGTGTGT